AATTTACTGTCGAAAACATTTCAATATTATTAGAGTTGTTAAAATTTATCTAACTGAAGCAGAAGAGAACGAAGTATGAACAAATGAGTTCACACTTCTAAAATCCTTCTCTTTTTTCAACTTCACAATCGTATCGTATTTTTGATATTACGATAAATACTGAGATTCAAGTAAAATGTCGAAGAAATAAGTCATGAAACTTGATGATAAAGTAACGATGAAAAGTAAAAATAGACATGTTAAGCTAGTACATAAGTATATGATTTTGAAAATGAATTACAGTTATTGTAGAGAACTTTCTCATAAGAACAAATATGATCTAATAACATAATAGGTCGACAGTATTTACTAAATGAACTTTCCTAAAAGACTATATTGGTGTAAAAGTCTTTTGTTGTTTGGTATGAAATTTTCATAGATGTATTTTTTTGACACTATTTTATTTTATTTTTTATCGTTATTTTTTGTTTACAATAGAATTAGTCTACCGATAAAAACCTAGCACTGTCGACAAAGATTTAAAACATTACTACAAAGAAGTCAAACCTGTCATTTGACAACTTATGAAAAATAAAATCAATCATTGTCTATCAATACTTAAGGTTTTTTTTTCTTCTATATCCCTATTCTCTTTTATTTACTACCATGACAATAATTAGATAGTATCTTTTAGATAATAAATTATTAATGATAATGGCAAGAAATAAAAATAATAGGAATAGTTTCAAATACAATAGATTGCCGTTGTAAAAACGATATCTAACTCCGTTGCTACATGTGATGCATACAACATATTAGTTCATTGTATAATTAAAAAAAATATTCGCAACCGATGAAGTAGCCGCGATGAATTTTCCATTTATACAATACAATATAATGGGTATAACAAAATCAAGGGTAGCATAAATTACTTGACCATAAATTGCGTTAGTTGGAAGTGCTAAAACACTTAATCGAACTTGAACAAAGGATTAAATACGATGCTTCAAATGAACGAATTAGGAGAGATCATGGTAAATTCCAATTTCCAAAAACTTCAAATTTTTGTACACTATTATGCAATGAGTGATACAGCTAAAGAATACTACTTCAACAGTGCAGATTAACTTCCAATGATACTTAGCTACAATTCATTTTTACATATTCGTTTCAAGAGATGCAATTCCTTATTACGTGCTGGTCATGCTGGGAAATTCGTTTTAGTATGAAAAGTATATTGAAATAAAATGTATATCTTTGGAGTTGAATTAGGTTGGATTGGTTTTGATCACGCCATTCATCTCATTACTGCTATCGATTTGTGTATGCTAGATTGAGTAACGTATAAGTGGGGCACTTGTCTCCATGCACAAACACTACTTGGATAACTTCAACTACACCAATACCAGAAAATGTTTTTGAATGATAATATTCTGGACACGATCTTGTTTTGCTTCTTGTCGTTTCATAGTTTAATACTTATTCATGACTCCATCAGTATTTTTACTTCTTCTATTCCTCAAGTCTTTTTGTTTTGTTTTTGTAAACAGATTTAAGTGAAAATACAATGATTATAAATATGTTTTGATAAAACTTTCAACTATTCTGGTTATTGTGTTGTATATGATTTAGTTTCAGAACAAAATGAGTTTCATGATTAGTATAAATACAAAACATACATACAAGATCCTCGGACATTTTCATGATATATAAAAAAAAATATCACAATATTGGAGAGAGACATCATACGAATATTGAATGATAGATTTTTTTAACAAATTTTGAATCATCAATTATTCGTTATTGCTTTGATAATGGAGCAACATTTTATCAATTTTTGTGTTTTTTATTCAACAAGAAGCCTATTAGAAATAGATGTTCAGAGAATTATCACATATTATTATATATTTCTTGATAAAATTTTATTAAAAAAAGAACATGATGATACACAATACTGTATACGATCATAAATATTGACCAACAAACTAATGAATTTTTTTCTGTTGTCAATTGAACTAATTGAAGGGAAGAAAATATCCCAAAAATGTTTTATATCGATCATATTGAAACTTTTAAACCTGTTTCACTGTAGAAAGTACTGCATAAATATTCTGATTCAATCTATTATGAATCATAGTGGAAGAGAAATTATTGGATCTTGTCCATTTAAACATTGTTCATTATATTGGTGGTTCCATAGTGAATGAAAGTCCATCCATCGTCCTCTATGTCTCTTTACCAGATATACTTATGAGATGGACAGTTTTTTATTGTATTCAAGCTTTTAGTACATGCTAATCATTAGAGCAATTTAAAATCACCCTGACTTCCGACAACTTTAGAGATGCTATTATTCAGGTTATGTACAAATTTGATGGCCAACTTCGGTGAGATGGTTTTCCACTTCTTCTGTGATAGCCGAAACCAGCGATCGATAAGTGTTGAACTTTTTTCTTCTTAACCTCGTTTTGAGGAGTCGCCAAACATTTTCGATTGATGCAAGATCGGGTGGAATTGACGGCCAATCAATTTTCTGGACTCCACTGTTCTGCTTCCAATTGACTGCAAGTCTCCACATGTGTTTAGGATCGTTGTTTTCTTGCGATTTTCAGTCAGTTTAACGAATACCAAACTGTTTTCTGGCTTCTGGCAAGAAGCCACACTTATAAATGTCACACATCAGTTTTGCATCTACATTCTTTATGTAGCAGATGAGGCAGAACTCAACATATTGACTTTGGTCTTGTGTTTGATGATTCGCACCATTTTCTTGTTTTCTGGTGTGAACTAAGTGAATGGTTGGATGGTAAATAAACGGATGGTGGTCTTTTCAGAAAATGTCACTTGATCCCATTTCGTTGCTATTTGTTCTTGAGCCCAATTTAAACGATTCTCTTGATGGTTTTCAATGAGTAATGATTTCGGCATGAGTCGACTGTATTTCTCTTGTCTTTTCTTCAACCATCGTTTCACTGTTCTCTCGTTGACAAGTACCTATTTTCACTTTAGTTTATTTGCAATATGCCTGCGACCAGTTGTGGTTCTTGGTTTGGAATTATTGCAAGTGATCGACTAGATCGATTTGAATCACTCAAGTCATTTGACTACACGTCAAGTCATATTTCAGAGCTACCAATGGAAGATGACGTAGGTAGGGAATCGATAGCTATTTTGATCAGGAGATGAACACTGTTGTCTACTTATATTATTATTACAGAAAGTGGCTGGAGTGTAGAGGCTTTTGTTCACCACTGTATTTGCGACGTAACAATTAAGCAATTATTTTTTATGTCAATCAAAGGCTTCTATCATCGCTCTTTATCTTGCATCGTCAAAATATACGTGTGAAATTTTATATGAAACACATTATATAAACATTTATGGAACAAATGCAAATGTACTTTTATCAAGGTAATGATCAAATATCAAGGAGTAAAGCATGTTTTTTTTTCATATGGCTATTATTATTCATAGTCATTGACAAGGTTAGATGAATTAACTAATTAATCGAAATAAGTATGGGCAATTTCATTAGCATCATTTTGTCTTGTCTCTAACCCAACGAGCTACACAGCAAATACCCTTCAAATTCTATCGAAATGTATACACGGCAGGCAAAAAAGAATAAACTATTAGTAATAATAATACGTCATACATGAAAGTCCATCATTCGAAACGCACCAAAGAAAATAAAATAGTATTTGCAGGATAATTACATTAATTTTAGAAATATTACTGAAGTTTTGAATGGAAAAATACCTTTATTTTCGTTATTATCTTTTGATAACTTTTTTAAATTTACAAAGATAGAATACGTGTTACAAAAATATTGCTAAAAAAACACAATCATTAGAAAGTATTTTTTCTTTGTTAACAAAGACAATTTTCTATGATTTCATGTAATAATAATCTAATCTAATAAATGTCAGTTTAATGTTGACTAGAACTGAAACTAAATTTTCAATTAATAAACTTTGCTAATGACTTATTAGAGATGGATTTTAAAAAACCTATTTTCTCCGTATATATGATTCACAAAATTCCATAGAATGTGATCAAAAATACAATAGAGATTTCTTTGAAAAAAAAAAACCACAAGAAATTATTTTGTTTTCATAGGAACATATCGATTTGATTTCATTCTTCAAGTAATAAACACATAAGATGATCTGCTGAATTGATATAAATTTTGAAAGAATAAAATTATTCTGTCGATAATATGGCTTTTGAACTATAAAGATATATTTAACTGAAATGGCGTTGTAAATAAAACAAGAAGATATTTCAAAGATAGATCTAAAAATTTTTCGTAAAAATCAAAAATAAAAAGTTTTTGAATACTATAGAATATTTTAAAATTTATAAATAGAGAAAGTTAAGAAAATTTTTAAAGAAAACAGATTGAAAGTAGTTTATAAAAAAAAATATGTAGATTATCGTTATTGTTTGAATTATCGAATTACATTGAGTCATGTCGACGGAAGTTTGCAAAGTAGAAAGTTTATCTAGTTTCTTTTTTATAAATTATGTAATTTCTTTTTTTCAGTTTATGAATTGCGATTTTATTTTAATGAGAATATGAGAGTTGGCAATCAGTATTCATTATTTCGAAGAAAAGAATTTATTTTTTTTGTCCAGTTCAACGATTCATGTTTGGAAAAAACTCGATTCAAAATAATCAAAGGGGAAGTAAGTATATCGAATGAATGCATCTATTACTCGCCATGTCTATTCATGATGGAGAAACAGAAAAATAATTCACCTATGAGAAATTTGTCTTGTAGGAACATATGTCAATGCAATAAAATTTATATTTTTCTTTTCAGTTATTCTTAATTACCAAATCATATATGCTTCTATATGATGCGTAATACTACTTCCTAAACATGTCATCAAGAATAAAAAAAGAACTTACAGTTTTTTAATAATAAAGAGACCTGATCGGGAGAAGTTCTTTCATTTTAATAGAATTTTTGGTCTACTTACAAATTGTTAATTTACTTAAATAGTTGGCTCTTACAATGATGTTTGATTATCATGACCACGAAAATTCAACATCGCTACAGTTAGCACAATTTCAATCAATTGTTGAATTAGACGAAAATCAATTTATGAAGGCAACGCCTTTTAATAGATGTATTTATATTAATGAAGATATTAATAATGAAAATATACTTTATCATCAATCAATTCCATCTTTATATCCTATATCTGTTACTCATACTCAGGAATATTCATTATTGAATAATATCATACAATCTAATAATGATTCCGATGAATTTTCTTTTAATCCTAAAGAATGGTTAATAGTGGATTCAACTTCTAGAAGACTACGAGCTCCACGACAAAATGAATTTCTTTATCTTCTTTTAGAACGGTCATGGTATTCACCATATCTAACATGGTTAAATAAAAATGAAGGTTTATTTAAAATTCATGATCCTGAACGAGTAGCTAAACTTTGGTCAAAAGTTAAAAATCGAAAAACAAATGGAATTATGAATTATGATACATTTGCACGTGGATTACGATTTTATTATAAATCAGGATCAATGATTAAAACACATAAAAAACATACGTTCCGTTTTAAAATACCTTTAAATAGTATATTCTAAAAACGTTTTGTTTTGTTGATAAATATCTTCTAAAATTAATAACTAACGTCTTATGATTTTGTTTTTCTTTTCTTTCACTATCTAGCAGAATATTTTGAAAATTTCGTTATGATTCTTAGAACATTTAATTGATTCATTAGAAAATCAATATTCGAATGAAACATTATTTTTTTTTAAATCAATTATAAGAAGTGAACATTATGAATCGAACTGAATGTAAATGAAATTTTCATAATATTTATTATTCATATAAAATATACACTTGTATATCAAATGATGGAGAATATTAAACTCGACAAAATTGCATACTTCATTTTTGAAAAATAATTTTTTTTCGATTTTGCAACAACCAGTACACTAACGTACATTGTATATTCCTACTGCAACACTGAAAACAAACAGCCAATAAAAACATATGATATTGTTACTGAGAAAATCTTATCCGCTATATTTTTGAAAACTTTAAATCGATAGCTTCATGTAAAATATTTTACATCCATTTTGAAATATACTCAATTTTTCATGAATTATGGTGAAAACGTGTCACATTGCAGTTCACTAGCCATGTAGTTCCGTAGAGAACAAAATTTAGCACTTTTTAGTGTTCAAATATGGGTTTTATGGATGAAACTTAACTTTAGAAAATATTTTCGAGAAATTTACAATTTTCTAGAGAAACTTGAATATCCGAAAATGGATCAACCAAATAGAAGGCAATGTTGTCTGTGTCTTGACGTAAAATTCTTTACTTTGAAGATTCATCTTCATGATGTGGCATGTTTTTTTTTCAAATCCTAAGCAACTATACTTCGTAGCCGAAGGGTACGGATATGTAAATATTTTAATTTGCCGTGCAAAGGTATAGAGTACTTTTAAGAGTGAAACTCATAGTTCTACAAAGCTTGAAGTTCTCTATCTGTTACTATATTGATGAGCCTTAGGGATCGAAATTGAATCGAATAGAGATGGCTTCACTCAATTTGTTCTCCGACTGATAAACTTATCGAAAAAAACAAAACAACAAAGAAACGATAAAAAACAACTAAAGCCAAAATATATTCAATCACAATTTAATAATTATGAACAAAATACAAATAATGTGTGATCTTATAGAACAAAACGGGATTAAATACCACTTATTATCATCCAATCTTTCACTAAACGACAATTCCCCTTATCCTATTTCAATAGTCACTGAGTAACAGTTGAGTGTCAAAGAAATTTGTAACGAAAGAAGAAAGACTCGAATTTTCAACTATAAATATGTTATTAACGCTAATTAAAGTAATATAATAATGTTTCGAACAAGTTATACACAAAAAAACAGAAAATTATAACAGTTAAGAATTTATAATCAAGTTCGTCTATTTGTTGTAACCGAAAGCACTAGTGGAGAACGTGTAATCAAATGACAAAGACGTCAAATATAATTTAAATGTTCGTTGATAGGTACAACACTTTTTCAAAAACTATTTATTTACAATCTTATAATAATTCTTAGAGATCATAAGCTTAGTAATGAAAAGATGTTTTAATTTTATCAATAAACCTATATCAAAATAATAATCGATATTTTTAATAATCTCGTAATCACTGAGTGGCTTTAGTCTGCCACTTCTTTTGCATCTGTTTAATTTGTTCTTTTTTTTAGAATAATTTATTTTTTTCCTTAAAACAAGCTTTTATCCTTTTATTATAAACCTTTAGGCTAGTTTTCGTAGTAATTAGTTTTTTCTTATTCAATTTTGATATATGCACTCATTGTATGGAATTCCGATCTTTCAAGCGTCCATTATATCATTGTTTTCGTGTTCATTCATATTTAACTTTTATGAGTTATTTTATTGTAGGAAGTCTACTTGCAATTGTAATTTTTCTTTTAAACAAATAATGTTTGAAAATATATATTAAATAGATCAAATATAGAATAAGTAACTAGCATTGGGAACTAGAAAATTCAGTAGTCTGTTCAGAAAAAGAACATTAGCAAGTAAGTAGTAGATAATATGCGCAAAAATAAGAATATTCTTCTACCGTAATAATGCAGTCGAATTGAATTGAATCAAAATGAAGGTTTTCTTATTCGTTTCGGTGTCTGATGAGTATTATGTATGAATAATAAATGAGAAGAAAATTGCATTTACATTTAGTCCAATTTTTATGATCCATAAGCTACTTGGTTGTGTAATGAGAAAAGGCCATGAAGTAATAAAAAAATTGATGAAAAGCGTTCAAAAGTGTTATGAGTAAAAAAACAAATGTTGAAAAATACAACTTATCTCAAAAGTTAACTATGAAACAAAAACGTAGATATCTCTCAAATAATTAACATAATTTCTCGTCTTTTGTCAATATTAAAATATACTTTATCTTTTTTTTGAAACGTTTAAAGAACAATACTGCAGACATATTCTCTTAACTATTGATATTCTCTCATATAGGTATTTCAAAGTTTTACAATTTGAACTCAATCTTGTAAATCTTCATGTTGGTTTTATTGGATTAATTATGCCTTCTATGACATCCTTGGAAGATCTTCAGTCATAAATGAGTACGCTAATATTCATAGAATGAAATAAACTGTTGCCAAAGTTCAAATACTTGATACTAGCTAAGTTGCACAAATATCATACATACCGTCGATTATTACTTCTGTAATATTTGAACATCTTTCAAAAGATTTTCTATTTACCATTGTACTTGGTTAGAAAAAGTATCGTCAAGTATCTCCAATACAGTCTACTTCTGACGCTTGTAAGCCTGATTTGACTTACAGTTTTCTTTCCACTATACTAAGTAAGTCTAATTTAGTCATGATTAAAACTATCTATGTTCTAATATTTGTAAGTATAGATATTTACTAGAAAATAAATACAATGATACTAAAATTGATATAATGACAGAATATAAACAAAAAGCGTAAATCATTTGCACTGTTTAAAAGAAATTCAAGACTGTTTTCCGTTGAGGCGAACTTTTGAGACACGCTATATAGTTTATAAAGTACTTCTTTGCGGAAAAGATATAGAAAAAAAAAGATTATTTCAACTTTGTTGATTGGTTAAACCAAGTATAGTATTGAAAAAAAAATAGATTGTCCAATACTTAAAATGAATTAATTCTTGAAAGTTCAAATTTACTTGACATTCTTAGAAAGATGTTTCTAGTCAAAAAAAAATTATTAAAACAAACTGAACTTCTGCATTCTAACTTTTAACAAACATCCAATTTTTATTATCATCATCATTCGACCAATAACTAACTTTCACGCCATTGCAAATACTAATTTCCAATTATATACTAATATTGCTTCGCTGATTTTTCACAGTGACTCAAAATGAAGCTTTAATTAGCTGTTTTGGTTTGAAGTTCTACTAATGTCAATAGATCAAATGAAACTTGTAAGAAAGATTTTCATTCCGAATATATCTATATGAGAAATGTCAATTTTTCTGTTCATATTGTTTTGTTTTTCAATAACAGTCGTCACTATATCAATCGTATACTTTACAATTTTAGTAGATATGATCATTCTTATAGGTTTGAACATATTCTTACTCTAAAGTCAAATCTCAATATAGATGTATACTGTTTTTGGAACAATTTCATGAACATTTTCTTAAACTAAATTAATCTAAAAGTTTTGAATCAATTATTTTTTGTTGAAAGTATTTGTTTAGATAGACAACAAGCATTCTTAGTTTCATTATTCAAGTCAAATTCACTAGCTCATAGTAATTTGAAAGTTTTGTTGATAAGTGCATTTCAGTACACATTTTTCTATTGTGTCTATTCTCAGAGCGAAAGATTTCTAACAAATGAAATGAATCAAATGATTAATATCAATTCCAAACAATTTGTTATCTCATTCGATTATTGAATCTATTCGTATATGATGCATTAGCGCATGCAAATACAATGTTACGAAAAAAGTGTAGAATATTAAGCTCTTCAAAGTCATTTATTAGTCTTGTAGACTCTGACTCGCATTTTCATAAACTCTTGGTCTGTCATAAAGATAATAAATCCTTTTTATTGTTTATTATTTATTTTCATAAACATCCTAAAGTTTATTATCTTGATAACTGAGCATGAATTTACAAAAATAAAAATGTAAACTAAAGTTTGAAAGAGTTGATGAAAATGGCATTTATCCTAAAAGAACTGATGATAATTTGATGTAGGGTTTATGAGACTAATGAACCCTTTTGAAGAGTTAGTTGCTCTACGCTTTTTCCTAGTGTACTACTGACAATTTTTATTTCGCGAGCAATATCATAAAAATTTATTTTTGTTTTTATTGAAATTTTCGTTTTTTTAATGACAGTAGAAATCTGCTGCATTTTTATAGTTTTTTCTGCATTATATTATGGATGTATACAATTAGAAAAAGATGACACATATATACAGCTGATTCATTTCCCTTTTAATGATCTTTGATATTATCTATGATGTCCTTCAATGTCTTATATATTTATTTGTGCTGAGTCATCACAGTTTATTATTAATGCATGACTATTAGTCAAAAAATATAATTGTCGTTGCCTATATAAAAATGCATTGAGATGGAAGACTTCACTATTGACGTAGTATATCTTTTCTTGGGAGTAAGCTTACGTCTATTGACGCTTTGAATAGTGAACTATTATTACGATATTTATTTTCTTGTATATTAGTTTATCGGTAGAAAAATGTGTGCGAATCAATCACCATCGTTATCTTTATCTTTCGTAGTTCACTCAATGGATGAATTATTTGAATATATTGATGGAAATATTTTTGATCCATTTAATTTCAACTCTCGAATAAATAATTGCGATGAAGCACAAAAAGGTGACAGTCTGAAAATGGATACAGATTTAATAACAGTTGAGCATTCTTCTAATGATTCTTATAAAACATCAGATGATTTGCATGGTGGTGGAGAAATATATTACAAAATGAATTCTCTTGAATATGCATCCAGTCTAAATACGTCTGATGGTTCTGAGTCGTCTTCAATAGGTAAAATTCCATCGCCTTTGAATGAAAATAATGACGATGCAGAGTTTTTTAATGCTGATGACTGGATAATTGACGGTACTTCATCATCGAAAATTCGGCCTCCAAAATTATGTGAATATCTTCGTTTACTTCTTGATAATCCACGCTATGCTTCATATGCATCTTGGATAAACAAAGATGAAGGTTTATTTAAAATTCATAATCCACCAAAAGTTGCTAGTCTTTGGAAAAGGGTTAAAATACGGCAAACTCATGGATTAATGAATTATGAGACTTTTGCACGTTGTATGCGGTATTATTATAAGTCCGGATTAATGATTAAAACACATAGAAGACATACATATCGTTTTGCTCAAACATAAAACTTTTGGAAAACGTTTGTTTCTATAATTCCTAAGCTGGTCGATTTTCGTTTTGATTAATCACTCTAACTAAAAGTTCATATTTTTTGTTAATTAGTTGATTTTATATGACAAAATAATTTTTTTCGAAATAGAATAAACGATATTTACTATTATACAAACTGTTCGAAGTTTTTGTCTACGTCAAACTCTATAGTGTTTTTTGTTTATTAAATCAATATTTGAAAAACGCAAAACATTTCACAAGGACAATATTTCATATAGTATGTCAATGAACCATATCGAAGTAGGTGTGTATATTTATATGATAGATGACATCACAAGAAGAAAAAAACTCGAAAAATCATGCACGACTTGATGCTCGCGTCACATAAAAGTTTCGACAATTATTAATTAGAAAAAATGATCGATTGAATAAGTCAATTAAGGAAGAAGATAAAATCATAGATGACGATTTTTTAATAGAAAAAGCAATTCGGTTATACCTTTCTTGTCTACATTAAATGAAAAAGGATATGAGTCAATGCATGCAAAATATTATTTTGTGTTAAACAGACAATATTTAATCATACTATATTATCTTTATTATTTATGAAAGAAAACATGATTTAATATTTCATTTCCGATTTATAAATTTAAAAAGAAATAAAACATCTGTTTATATCAATAATTACCACATGATAAAATTCATATATATCAATGTTCACTAATGATTTTTAATTAGGATAAAAATATAATATTCATGATCATCATTGACAATATGAGAACTCTTATACAAATTATTTCGACAACATTATATATCGATTTTCTCTGTAGAGATAATAGACAATGATAGATCCAATATTTTTCTTTACATTTAGGAAAACGTTTGTTGTAACAATTGTTTATTTTCACATAAAAAAAAGAAAAGAAGACCATTAGTTTATTTATAAAACTTATGATTTACAACTCATTTTTCTCTCAAATACTTTCAAGTGAAACAATATTCAATTTTGATGATTTCAGTATTTAATTTGACACTTAATTTTCATAACTTAATCAAGAAAATCGCAACAATAATAAAAGAGTCAGAGCAAAACAATGAAAAGTGTATAAATAAGTTTTATCAATCAAATAGATTTTTTGTGACCAATAATTATTTATGATTGACCACGATTTTCTTCTTTTTTCACTTTATAAATACGAACAAGCCAATGTTCAGTTGTATAAGCTTCTTCTAATTTTTCTAATTCAAAATTTTTATTGCCAAAAACCCCATGAAAGTGAGAATAATGATCATATTCACTAAAATGAAGATATTTGTAACAAAAAGAATAAAATAAGACTGCCACTACATAAGCTTCATAAAAATCTACGTTATTCATTCATCATCTCATCGTTGGTGTTGCAGTATTTTGAATAAATTATCTAGCAATACAATTGATATGGTTGGCATCAGCATCTTGTTGTAAGAGCCACGTTTGAAAAGAAAAACTTTTGTCTTGTAGCGACGAATGATCACTGTCGACAGAATTAGGCTTAATCTTTATATTAGATGAAGAAATTTGAAAGTCTTAAACAAAAGTGTTCCAAAAAATGATGCGAGCTTTATACTAAGTGTTATAGAAATCAATCATCCATACAGTTAAATAGAATTTGATAACTTTAAAAAAATCTGAGTGGATTTTTTTCTACATAACAATTAACTTTATTCACTCTTCTATTACTACAATATTGAAGTCTAATAGCGTCGGCTTGACCCGGTGAGGAAGCTCTCCAATCTTGGAAATTATTTATTTTTTCGTTTCAGCAGACTTACAGTGCTTTATTGTCTTCAAAATTAAAACTGGTTTGATAAAAACTAACAAATTTAGTAACTTGTTTAGTTTTTCATTATCAGAAATAGATTTAGAACGATTTGAACAGAGTCATATTAAACTCTTCGAAATAGAACAGAATCAATAGTCTTTTTGAATGGTGTTTGTTTTGCTAATTTTATATAATTAACAAAAAAAAATGACATGAATTGCAATGTATTAGTATCTATCTTTGATTGATAAATATGATAATATTTGATTGAATACTTACCCAAAGAAAAATCAAGTTATATTATTTATTAGGCAGAAAAAAAGAAAGTACAAAAACTAAAACACTACTTGTGTATTCATATATGATAAAGAAAGAAAAACAGACACTTATTAAAATATTCATTCGTTTAAAAAAAAGTCATTTAAAACATGTTAAAAAATTTGAATCATTTCAAGAACTATTATAAATAATCATATGTCATAATTGTTTATTTAATTCATCTAATTGTTAATTACAAGTTGAATCAAGATTACTTTTATCTTTAACAATAAACAATTATTATATCGCAAAGATCTCGAGAATGAAAAGTCTAAAAATATTCGTACAAACGTTAGCTAAAAATATAGAGATCGAACCGGTACCATTTTTTAAAAAGTTTTACGCGAACGGCCCATTTCATTCATTTTTATGAGATATCGTCTTTTTTCGAAAATCGAACTTTGTGTTTCGTGCTGCATTTCGTATTCAAGTGAAACTCGATTACTATCTGCTAATGGGAGTGAGAGACTTTCCTAACAAACGAATTGAGTTAAAGGACTAGGAAGTTTCCATATAAGTTTTTTATCCTATTCAGCTATTGAATCTATTTGTATATGATAAATTAATGGTTACTATTTGTTTTCATTAATGTCTGAAGGTTTATTATTTTGATGAGTCAACATAGGTTTATAAATATGAAATGTATCATAGATTCCGAAAGACTTGATGAAAATGACATTTATCATAAAAGAGCTTATGATAATTTGATGTAGAGTTTATGAGGCTAGTTAACTCTTTCAGCAAGTTTATCGTTCTACGCTGCTTTTACAGTGTATTGTTGCAAATTTTTGTTTGCTAGCAATATGAACCTAGTAAGTCATTTGTTTTTATTGGAGTTCTCCTTTTTAATGAAGAAAGAACTCTGCTGCATTTTTATATTTGTTTTCTCCATCATACTATTAACTCATATAAAAGATAAAATATCTATAGTAGATGATACCACTTCCTTTTAAGTGACCTTTCATAGTACCTATTACGTCTTTTTCATTTCTTTACTATGCATTTCTATCAAGTTATGCATGTTGATTATGAATGCATAACGATTAGTCAAAAACAAAATAGTCGTCGTCTATATAAATCGTCGAAATCGTTGACTTTGCTAGTGGAATGAAGTATTGAATTTCTTTTTTTTTTAGAGTAAGCTCTTACTTTATTACAGGTATTGTCATTTAGAATAGTGAAATATTCTAGCAATATTTATTTTATTGTACATTTATTTATCAATAGAAAAAGTGTGAAAATCAATTATCACCAACAATTTCGGTTTTCATAGTTTATCCGATGGATGAATTACTTGAATATAATGATCGAAATATGACTGATTCACTTAATATCAATTCTTTGAAAAATGATTGCGATGTATTAGAAGAATGGAATATTCAGAAAGTTTATGAAGATTTAGTAACAGTTCTAAAACTTACTAGCAATGATCCTTGCATATCATATGATGATCCTTTCAATAATGACGGAGTAATACATTATGAAAAGAGGCCTCCTGTACAAACATTCAGTTCCGATAAATCTAATAATCCTAAAACACTTTTGGATGAAAATAATGATGATACAGAATTTTTTAATCCTAAAGAATGGACTATGGAAGATCCTTCATCATCCAAGGTTAGACCTCCAAGATTATTTGATTTTTTGTGCTTACTTCTTAATAATTTACGTTATGCTTCATATGCATCTTGGATAAAGAAAGATGAAGGTTTATTTAAAATTCATAATCCAGCAAAAGTTGCTAGTCTTTGGAAAAAAGTTAAATTAAGACAAACTCACGGACTGATGAGTTATGATACTTTTTCACGTGCCATTCGGTATTATTATAAGTCCGGATTAATGATTAAAACACATAGAAAACATACTTATCGTTTTGCTCACAAATGAAATTTGTAAATGACAATTTTTTTTTTGAGCTGGTCGTTTTTTCTTTTGATTAATTGCTCGAACAAAATGCTCATAACTTTTAGTCAATTATTTTATCTTAAATTGAAATACATTGTTTTCTTTTTAATAGAATAAAAGATCTTTAATTGGTACAAACTATTAGAAATGTCTCTCTGCTTCGAACTTCTTAATGCTTTTTTTGCTTATAAAATCTTAATACTTGACTAGGTAAAACATTTTACAAGGACTATGTTTAATATGGTGTGCCAATCAACCATATCGAAAAAGGTATTTATTTTACCATAGATAATATCACAAGGAAAGAATACAGACAATCATGCATGAAATAATATTCGCACGTCGTGCAGGTCTGATTATTTTTTAATTGATATGAATGATCAATTAAACATGTCAATTAAAATAGAACACGAAACCATGAATTATAGTGCTTCAATAGAAAAAAAAGAAGTGTCTATACTTTTTTTTCTATTGTAGATGAAAGAAATATGAATCAGTGAATGAATCAGTGCATGTACATTAGTTGGTCTTAGTTTTAGAGAAGAATTGTTTTAGCGTTGTTTCTATTTTGAATAAGAATGTTTCAGAAGAAATGACTGAAAAATAAGATTCTAGGTATTCAAGTTTCACTCAACTGCTAAATGTGTAGCAAAGCTTCGAACGTTGATTTTCATTAAAATCAACTTCTGATAGAAAATGAATTAGTCATGTCTACAACTACTGCATCGATACTGTTAATTTTGTGATTATTCTTATCATATATTAATAGTGTCTTGAAACATATGAGACGAAAATGTACGTTTCAAACGATATAAGGTCTTGAGAAATTTCTCAAAAGCAAATATAAAACATCAGAAAATGAAAGAGAACAGCAGTTACATTCATAGTTCTCTGAACAGGTATGAGCACAAGTAATTTCTTTTGTAAAAATTATTATGTCATATGATACTTAAAGTCATGTACCATGAAAAAAAGATAATCAATTTACAAAAAAAGAAACTTAATTATTTTTTAAAAAAAGCGTGTGCACAGTGAACGTCTACTAATGCTCACCCTATCTCGTTAACATTCAGGATATTCTACAGCAAAACTGCATCCATATTTCAATGAATAAGTTTCGTCTATTAGACAAACAATAATGCTTTAATTTCAGAGGATATAGAAGCTAGAGAAGTGAATTTAGGAACTAAGTTCGTATCACTAGCATCACAACGGTTTTTAAGAAAGTCGCCTAAAACAGATAGGGCAAATGAAAGGGAAAGTTTCAGCAGTATAGACAAGGATCACTAAGACCATATGACGGAAACTACCAATGTTGACAAAAACTTTGGTGGAAAAATAGAAGAAGTAAGATAGACAATAGCAATTGAAGCGCATAGTAATCCCACCTAGAATCGTTACCAGTATTCTTCCTTAGATTCCGAAATCAAAAATAGATGATTTTCAAAGAAACAGATATATCTAAGATTTTTCATACAGACATTTGAGAAAGCTACGTAAGAAAAATAACAGTACATATTGCTGAGACCAATGCTGTAAATACAGTGGACGCCAAAAGTTTCGCACCACTATTTTGTTTTGATTCGCATTTCAAAAATACACGATATAGATTCAAATTTCTTTTTACCATCGGATAGTGGGCCTCGAGTACTATATATATATACGTTTGAAATAAATAATCCTTGAATTTGAAATACAAGAGAAAAAGCAAACTTTAATACTGTGACAAAAACTACATAAAAAAGACTAGCTGATATAGCTGTTATGATTTTGAGTAAGATTCCAGCAAATAAATTAAAACTTTTTAGAATCCTTTTCTGGGACAAAAAAATTATCAAATAATCGCATGTTGTATTTGTTCTATATGAAAACTTGAGAATTTTTTTATACCAGAAAAGCATAAAAATACGATTTTTTGTCATTTTTTGTGTTAGAAAAGGATTCTAAATAATTTTAATATAGATAGTTTTGTAGAGCTCGTCGAGATCTATTCATTCATGCAAAAATATCAAACAAAATCTTAATCGATTTTCGTATTACTTCAACTTTAGTAAAAGTTCTGAAACTGATAACAACCATACCATGTTGTGTTTTTTAGGTGGTTTTTGTCGTAGTATTGAAGTTTATTTTTCTTCCTATGTTTCGGATTCAACACTTATTCATTTCAAACATATATATACATATAGTACTCGAGCTCTGCTATCCGAAGGTAAAAAGAAAGTTGAATCTATGTCGTGTATTTTTGAAATGCGAGTTAAAACAAAAAAGCGGTGCGAGACTTTTGACGTCCACTAGATTTTATTGTATATTTATTTATCAATAGTAGAATGTGTGAGAATTTACTATTACTGACAACTTCATCTTTCATAAACAACTTAATAAAAGCATTATTTGAATTGATTGACGCAAATATTTTTGATAAATTGAATTCCAATTCCAATTCCACAAAACATTATCATGATGAATTAGAAGAATGGAAAATTCAAAAACTTTATGAAGACTTAATAACAGCTCTAAACATTACTGGTAGTAATGATCCTTGCAACCCGTTTGAGGCTGTAAATAGGAATGAAGTGATACACAGTGTTTGGTAAGGTAAAATATTTTATAAGGACAATATTTTATATAGTGTGCCAATCAACCATATCGAAAAAGGTATATATTTTACCATAGATAATATTATAAATAGAAAAAAAAAGCAGAAAATTATGTACGAAATGATATTCATATGATACCCTAGTGTGGACAGGTTTTTATTGATGAAAACAGATGATTCAGATTTGGTTAAGGAAGCAGACAAAATAATTGTTCACGCTTTTTAGAAGAAAAACAAGGTATCGATACTTTTTCTTTTCTATATAAAATGAAAGAAATATGATTTAATGAGTGTACGAGTGCATTTATATTGGTTGACTTCAATTTCAGAGAAGAAGTATTCTAACGTTGTTTTTGTTTTGAATAAGAATTTTCAGAAGAAACGACTTAAAAACAAAACTACATGGCACTCTAGTTGCACTTGACTGATTTAATGCAGTGTGAAGCTTGGAAGATCAATTTTCGATGAAATCGATTTCTGATAAAAGACAAATAATGTTTTCTACGATGCAGAGGTCACATAAAAATATTTGCACTTGGACTTTTCGTACGTGTTGAAGGAAAAGTATTTTACTTGTACTTAAGTACTCAAAAAAAGTACTTTATACTTTTACTTGAAATATGAAACGATTTTCTTCTTGTGTATCTGAAGTATCTTTCTGCTTCATTGAAGTTTTAAGAGTTACTGATAAAGCTAAAGTAACTATCATAAGTTTCAATTCTCCATAATGCTAGAGGGTGTGGATTTACGTAGAGGTAGCACAGCACACCCGCACCAAAACCCACATCCTAAAATATTAAAGCTTGCTCGATTAGATAATTTAATCATTTATTAATATAGTGTTCTGGACAACTATATTTAATCGAGATATAAAGTAGAACAAATGCCATCATTTAGAGTCGTTTATCATATTTCGAAAAACTTTGAATAATGAAAATCGATGATTCTTATAAATGACCTGCACTAGCATGTTAGAGTAAAGCAATTCTCATTAAAGTATTATATTGTCTTTACTTTTTTTGAGAAGATAATAAGATTATGATTTTTAAAAACTTTTCAGAGCTAGTCAATCTTATCAACAATTTTTGTTATTTATACATCAAATCAAAGTACCAAGTACTTTTTCTGATACTTATGTGCAAGTACAAAATTATTCATATCGAAATGCCAGTATAAGTACAAGTATAATACTTTTACTTGCAGTACTTGTACTTGTCTTATCTCTGCTACGATGAGTTATGAAACGCGAGTCGTTGAAAACTACTCCTATTCTAATGGAATCAGGCTTTTATTTTGTCGGTGTAAATTGGAAAATTTATATTCCTATCGATTTGATCATCGACACCGAAATGAAAGAAAAAAATGTTCATTGTGAAATTCATTATTAGGAGAATTGTATTTAGAAGTATTATCATATATCGAATGAATACTATAAAGAAAACTATATTCCAAAAATTTACCTTTTTTGATGATTTCTTTTAAGCAAATGAAATGTTTCCTATGGAAGACTAGAAAGCGGATCGGATCAGTTCGATCATAAAATTTTATTCATACCTTTGAACAAGAATTCTAGATTTCTCTGGAACAAGCTTTTTCCTGTCCCAAAAATTCTCAAAATGTCTGGATCTCAAAGGTTTCGTCCCGAATTTTGTTCGAATAGTTTCGTAAAAATCTCGTTCGTCCCGTTGAGTGAAAGGAGACCGACTACACAGAGTGCACAGACCGATTTATTGCTTTTCACGTCGTCAGTTGTCATGATAAATTCTTCGTTAAGGTGGCTGATCATCTTCTTCGAAGCGTATTAGTCACGATTCAAGCTGACCAGTCGTTTTCCACACCCTGATCATCATTTCTATATGAGAAAAAGTATTTTTAAGCCGTGAGAATATGACAAGTGTACATTTGCAATCGGTTTTCCAAAAACTTGATTCAGCTCGTGAGCTGTAAAATAGAGAGAAATGATAATTAACAGCTGAGAGTCTTCTTACATGGTAACAATTAGTTCAGGTTCATTATCTCGCAACATGTTAGCTGAACCGAGATGAATAAACGCGACTGCAATTCATTATGATTTCCTTTACCGAAGTCTGAAATTTAGAAATATCAGATGTCGTATAGGATCGCGTTCAGATATTTCACAAACTCCTGAAATGCACCACCTTTTCTATTCAGGCTTTATTCGAGCGGTAGTCTAGTTCTTTGTCTGTTCTTTTTTTCTGTTTTTTATTCAAATATTAAGATAATAACTTGTTAGAAATATCCAAATTAAACTATTCGACATTTTTTGGTATAAGAATTAAGAACATTTGAAACATTGGTTATTTCTATATTGTTTCAGCCTCACATGTTCTGTTTCGAAATTTTTCAGAATTGTCCTCGGAACTAT